TCACAGCTGATTATCATAGAACACCAACATGGCGGAGGAAGTCGGTTACCATGACGATAAAGAAATTTGGTCACGTGAGTGAAAACGCTCTATACGCGTCCTTGACGCATATGCCTATAGACGCAGACCCGTTTATGCGTCTGGTGCTGACGCGTTACTCACGTACGCTTTGGTTCGCATTACTCTGACCTGCCCTGTAGGTCAGTTGATGGGGAACTTTTCAGTTTCTTTCGCCTTGTTATATTGGTAACAGATAAATATATTTTGAATACTCTGGAAGTGCAGTGCCTGAAATAATATGCTTTCAATTACTCTCACTCATAAGTTGCTGATGTGGAAATGTTTTTTTTCCATGCCTTCATCACATGGAAACACACAGTGACTTACGAAATCACTCCGCCCACGTTCAGATGACTGAAACATTTTACCGAATGCCATAAATACTGCTTCGTTGCATACTTGTTAATTTACGGACTATCATCTAAGACCGATTATGATCAATTTTTGCCAACTCTGTTGTAATCAAGAAACATACCCAAGGACTCAGAGAACACTGAATTTTGCAAAGAATAATATTTGGTGAATGATTGATCTGGGTGGAAAAATAACTGGATCTGTCATTGTTTGACGATCAGGGAAGATCACATCAGTTATCTCTATCTTATGAATTTTTTAACACATTTTGATGTGGTCAGCTTGCGTTGTCCCCTGTGGACTCTATATTTCGTTTTTAAACACGAATCGTTCTAAATTTCCTAAACAGGACAGCTCAGTAACATGTAACTTGCAGGTGTGCAATAGGCTCTTATCGTTTCTAATTTCTCAGTTCCTGAGCTTGCGGTCTTCTACAAATCCTACGAGGTGATTGGTTTCCAGAGTGAGCAGTATAATTCTCCCATCCGGTCCACTCTCAGCAGGTGGTATCCGTTTCGCGTTGATTCGAAATGCAGAACATCTCTTGTTTCGTCGCAATTTTTCTTAAATACATGTCATTTTTCCGGCTGAACAGCATTTTTAGGTGAAGACTTACGGACATGAGCTTTAGCCAATAAATAAAATCAATGATCTCTTTTCCCTTTCTCAATTCACTTTGGTTTTTCCACAAAAATCGATTTGGAAATAAATTTTGTTTACTAAATTTGCTTTTAGTTGTAGATTGACACGCAGCCTAAAATTCATTTGTAATTTAATAATCTTTCACACAGAGTAGGTCAATGGTCCGTACTCTCGTAATTTTAGCCCTAAGTCATTCGGGTTCTTTCGGCAAACATTTTGTTCAGTGTAATATTCCGTATTGGGAAAAATAGCTGTGCTCTGTGTCTTCAATGCCGCCCTCAACCTACAGCCTTAGGCGGCATCCAAGAGTTCGGGCACAGTTTTCCCAATATGGACCTCCCTGCTGGTGAATAACATATCTTTGTCATTACTTGCAGTATGGTGGTGCCATTGAAGAAATGAAGAGTAGGTTTATTCATAGAGCATCGAAAAAGTCAGTTACAAGTGAGGGTCTTCTTTGAGGAATTCACATATTCTCTCGAGATCATAAGCAGTCAAGCACGTTGATTCTTATCTAGAGATTTCGATGTATCGATGTGTTGAGCGACATTGGTAGAGTGGCAAGAACACTAATGGCAGCGCACTTCAGACTCATTGCAAATAAAATTATCATCCAGGGACGCTTTGTACAAATTGTACTAGAATAATATTTCTTGCTATTTTACTAACGTGGAACTCTATATCTCGTTCGTGATTTGAAGCGCACAATTTACACGCATTGCTGCTGCACTGACCACTACTTTGTGAAGAGTAGAGACTCGAGAACCATCAATCGTAAAAATTAAGATCCAAAAATTTGAAATAATGTGAAAAACATACTTGATAATAGAAAACAAGAGGCCAAAAACAGTGACATTCTTCAACAACTGTACTCATTTTAGAGCATTATTCTACTCGGATACTGACTCGGCGATGAAAGAAATGTAATTATCAACTCCATCGAAAGGCTCTTTTTGTATCTTAGCTTTTCATGAGAACTAGGTCTTAAAGGGTGCTTCTTAAAACAAAGTTCTACCGTTGCTTAATAAAACCGCGTTCTGAGCCACCTTCACTAAATTTAATTGATATAGACCTTTTACCTGAACTTTAAATTTTGTGAAGAGTGGACGGCTGGAAGCTTATTAAGAGTAGAGGAACATTTATTTGAATAAAATAGCCTTCCAATATAGAATTCCCGAGGCCCACTACTTGTGTAAAGCTGCGGTTTTGGAAGGCTAGAGTTGATAAAAACATCTGGAGTTTGACTAATGGTCGTGGGTCGTGGGTACAAGTCGTGGGTGTGGGTGTGGGTAAGAGTCGTGGGTGTGGTTAATACTTAATAATAAAAATAACCATTTCAAATATTAAATATAATAATACATAAATTTTATACAACCCTGTCATTCATTAATTTAACTGTTCTTTCTTCTGGTTATTTTATTTTGTTTCTGCAATTTACCCTACTTTGCGTCTATTTTTATCTGTTATCTCACTGTCAATGAAATTAGTTTCAGTTTCGCGACGGGAAGAGAGATAAATCTTAATTACATTAAATTAGTTTCACAACACGATAATTCCGGTCTGTCACCAGCGCGATCGCCGACGAACGTCCATTGGTCGGCTACTCTGGGAATTGATTTTTCCCTTCTGCTTTCTAGGGTAGTTGTCAAGGGAAATCCACAGGACATTCTTTTGTTCTCTTGCGGTTTTCAAGCCCCAGACGATAAAACTTTCCCGAGGTAATTTACTTAGGGAAAAATCGGTCACACTTGCAAATTTGAGTTTCCCTAGGGAAACTGTCAACAAGTCAAGTTTCCCTAGGACAAAACCCTGTAGTGTGACCACAGCTAATATCGCGTTTACGATCCTCCACTGTCGAGTTACCAGTCTGGCAGAGGTTATGTGTGTGCCTTTTGAGTCAGTCGACTTGTGCACAATCAGTTTTCCTTTGTGTATACAGTGTGTAATTACCAGATTTATCTATCATTCTTTTGTCATTGATGTTACCAGACGAGCTCAAGATCACAGAATTTCTGTTCCTTGGCCCCTGACTTTAGCCGCAAATATAGAATTCACGAGCGCTGTCGCAATTTTAACGTTATAGTACTTCTACTATATGAAATAATTTTTGGTACAATCGTACAAAGCAACTCAGGTGTCTCGTTAACACAGACCTCGAAAACGCAGAACGCAGACCGCAGTCCGCTGACCGCACAGCTCGAAAAACGTGTACACAGTGTGTAATTACAAGGTTTATCTCTCTTCCCTTTGTTATCAAACGAGATCTCGGCATGCGTCGCGAAACTGAAACTAATTTCATTGACAGTGAGATAACAGATAAAAATTGACGTAAAGTAGGGTAAATTGAATAAAGAAAATAAAGTAACAAGAAGAAAGAACAGTTAAATTAATGAATGACAGGGTTGTATAAAATTTATGTATTATTATATTTAATATTTTAAATGGTTATTTTTATTATTAAGTATTAGCCACACCCACGACTTTTACCCACACCCACGCCCACACCCACACCCACACCCACGACCCACGACCATTAGTCAAACTCGTTGATTTCTGTACGTCTGTTATCTTTGAGAGATTCGGTACTCCACCTCTTGTTTTGACAGTAGATAATATCTGACATCCTTCGAAAATGCAAACATAGTAAGGTCTATAGTTACCGGGAGCACTCAACAAAATTAACCAATAACATAACAGGAAACGAAAATTGATTCCAACCAAATTCAATTGTAACAATTGGTGCTCGGGGCAAAAGCTTCGTGGGTATGAGGCATTCCAACGGAAGAGGAGTGACGCGGAGCCACCCACTCTCTTTGGAAAGCCTAAAGCAAGCAAAGTTGTCTTGGAATTTAGAGGGATTGCAGTCCTGATTTCCTGCAACAGAATAGGGCAGTTTTTTTGCAAGTGAACCCAATAACAATAACCACAAAGCTTTAAAAAGGTGATAAGTACTTTTTGAATTTCAGGATAAATCAATTCACAATTGTTTTATTAAGAAATAAAGATCATTTGACCTGTGGAGGACAATCAAAGAAAGCCACGATCCTCGCAGATGAGCGCAATATAAGGAATTGCAGAAAACAAACCTGAAAACATTCAGGACTGGACGGGATCCCGTAGAAGGCTTTTCTGCAACTGCCCAAATTGCACCTCATCTGCGACTGATCATGGCTTAATTTGATAAATTAGTTCGTAATAATAATAACAATACGTTAATTGAAGCTCCCCCTTAGGGGCTTTTCGGCCACAATGTAGACTAAATACTTGAAAATTCCCGCTGGCAGGAGGCAGACCTGTGGGCTATTTACAGAGCGCAGCTAAGGAGTTGAACTAGGGGCAACTGAGAACAAATCCAGTGAGTGGCAGGGTGGAGGACTTCAACCCGGGTAGTAGAGTCTTTTACAGATTCTTTATCTAGTTTTGCACTTATTGTTGCGTTTGGCGACATTGTATCCATGGCGACATTGTATCCATGTCGAAATTAGCCGATGAGAAGCTCAGTCTGATGACCCGATATTCTACGCCGATAAGCTGATATCGTTCGGTGTCATGTTCATTTTCAAAAGACCGTGACTAACCGTGGCTCGACCACACTCGCCTGATATGTAGCCAAAGCGTACTACAACGGCTAAATCACGTGAAAAAAGAGCAATCAGATTTAGAGAACACAGCTTTCCTTCCAGTTACTCGCTCTATTTGCCACCTTTCGTCACGAAGAGGATGCAAATGTGCCTTTGAAGACTTTGAATCCTCCTCAGCTTTCCTCTTGGTTATGCAAGTCATACTTAATCATCAAACAGATAAAACTTACTCAGTTTTAGTTCAAAATCGGCAAGCAGAATAATGTTCTTTCACCTAGTAACCAGCCAATGTTAGTGAAAAGAGCTCGCCCTCAGAACAGCAGAAACCGAGTCCACTAATTATTAACGATTTATTTATTTATTTTTTTACAGAAAACTTTTACTTAAAATAAACAAGTACGAGGAGGGTAGCAGTATCTTAAAGCAAAAAGAAAAGTGGATAGGGTTGATTTTTTATAATGGGACTTTGTATAACGCTCATTTATAGAATACGATCAAATATTTACATTTCTAACAATTTGTCCATTTTATAAACAACTTTGTAGATTGTGAATTATGTCTTTCTCCGAGTAATATGATCGTAGATTACCACCTGAATATATTTTGCAGTTTCAATGGGAATCCTTGCCGAGTTATCACCAGGTGTAAGTGCCTATCAATCAATCAATCAATCAATCAATCAATCAATCAATCAATTAATCAATAATTCAGTCAGTCAGACTCCAATCACTCAGTAAGTCAGTCATCAGTCAGTCAGACACACAGTTAGTTAGTCAGTCAGTCAGTTGGTCAGTCAGTCAGACACACAGTTAGTCAGTCAGTCAGTCAGTCAGTCAGTCAGTCAGTTGGTCAGTCAGTCACACACAGTTAGTCAGACAGTCAGTCATCAGTTCGTCAGATGCTCAGTCATCAGTTCGTCAGTCAGTCAGTCAGTCAGTCAGTCGGTCAGTCAGTCCGTCAGTCAGTCAGTCAGTCAGTCAGACTCACTCATTAAGAGAGTCAATCAGTTAGTCAGACAGTCGGTCATTTAGTTCACCAGTCAGACTCAGTCAGTAAGACTGTCAGTTGGGAGAAACACTGTTAATGAGATAGTCATAAGTCAGCCAGTCGGTCAGTTGGTCAGTCTGCCAGTCAGTAAGACTGTAAGACAGTCAGTCAGACAGTCAGTCAGTCAGTCAGTGAGCCAGACAGTCAGACAGTATAGGGCAGGGAACACAGTAATTTTTTTTTCACAAAATCTTGCAGACAACAATATTTACCTTTGGATCCACATTCAAGATTTTTCTGTCTCTCTTGTTCTTGAAAAGCAAACCTGATGAATTTTCCGCAATGACCTGGAAAGTAATCAGCCATGTTTTCATCATTATTAGGGTGACAAGAGGTAATGATGAAAATTCAGATCTGAGACAGATTTGTGTGATGTTCTGCATACCATCAGAAGCATTGGCTAATACCCATGCCTGTTATATTACAGACCATTGTGACTTGCTGCTCTGTACTTTGTGAGGTGGAAACAATTTTTTTAAAGCATATTAATTGAGCCAAAAAAACAGTCACTCTTCCCTTGGCTTAATTTAATGCTGCATGTTACCTGGCCATCTTTGAGTCCTTAGTCTGGTGGGCTAATACATGTAGTTGTACAACATGTCATTTGGTAGGTCACTTGTCATCTCCTACTAACTAGTCTGTCCAGGAGCCTAGGGGTGGGGGGGGGGAGGGGAGGGGAGGGAAGCAAAGATCTAGAATTCTTAAAGGTAGAGACACTTTTTGGTGACAGTTTTCTATCTTGCAGTGTTAAAGACACCTTGAGAAGATTCTAGCTATGAAAAGGACATAATAATTATTGCAATTCATTACCTGATAGTTTGGAGTGGGATTTGAAGTTGCAGTTTGTGTTTCCCAGTTGTAAAAACTCAAATCTGATGGTCTGGGAAGCAACCGCTTTCTTCCATTAAAGTAAGGTTCAAAGTCTTCTGCCTGATGGAATAAAGAATGGAGTTAAGTTAAGTAGATAATCAAATCAAATCAAATTGATTTACCCTCTTACTGCACACTCTAAAATTAGAACACACATGCATATATTCCATACTGTTCTTTATAAATTTCCCAATAAAGGTGCTGACTATCTGAATTCAATACAATCAATCCAAATTACAATGAAAAGCTCCTTTAGTTGGTGATTATTTCCTTTATTCTTCTGCCCTCAACCCCTTACAACCATGAACATCATTGTTTATATTCTCCATTCTGTTCTTCATACATTTTCTAAGGTGCTGAAAAAGAGAATTTGTTTAACAATCAAGAGCTTAATTAGTTGGAGATCATTTCCTTTATTCTTGTGACCTACATGTGTGACCCACGCGTGATATTATAGGGAAAAATCAGATGCCAGTGCCTCTTTGGAGTTAAAGAGTTAATGTGTAATTCAAGGATATTGAAGGAGAAATCAAAAGCTTGGGATCAAGGGTTAAGATTAATAACCTAGACTTAGAAGTCACTTGAGTGTCACATAAAACCTTTAAATTAAGGCAGGAAACCCTAATTAGTTTATGAACTTCTTAGTAGTTAATTTTCAGGGAAAAAAGCTCTACACTGTAGGAACTCGTACCTTTGTTTCATTGATAAAATGTAGTTGAAAGTTTTGGTTCAATAATTAATGCCTTGGACATTACTTTTGGTTGGAACAATCTAACACCACTTTATGGCACAGATTATTTAATTCTGACCAAAGCTGTTGAGCAATGGAAATATTTTGTTAAGCTTTGAACTTACTTTTAGACGATGTGCATAATCAATATAGCCTGATATTTCCTGGAAACGATGAAGAGGAAAATTAGCAACAAGGATGATATTTTCAGTAAATGACAATTTAAAAATTTTGGTCCCTCTGGCACTGTCATTAGACTGCAATTTCAGCTTAAGTTTACCCAAAGAGTAACAGAAAGTACATGTTAATGCTAACAAAATCTCACCTGCCCTCTGGCATTCTTGTCTCTGATAAATATTATGGACTTGATTTTAATAATTAAAGAAAAAACAAAAGCAAAGAATAATTAGTGATTGACAATAAAAATCAAGTTTTGAAGTTAATTCACATCTTTAAATTATGGGTTTGGGAAAAGTTCTCCCAAAATTTCAGTCAATGTTAAGTCAAACATAAACTTAAGGATACCATAGACTACTGCAGGTGTCCATCACAAAAATTTTTTTAACACATTATTTGAAGCATAACCACCATAAACCATATATCAATGGAAAGGTTATGAAAGTACACTATTTGACAATTTTTTTGTTTTTGCCTGATCTAGTTGTAAACCAAATGGGCATGAATAGACAACGTTTCTTTGAATGAATTAATCCAATGTCAAATCTGACCCCACAAATAAAACTTCTGCTCACTTTTAATCCTGAGGGGTTGCTCTTCAAAATCTCAAGGGGATTTTTAGATGTTCTTGTTGGTTGCTTTAAAATTTTTCTGTAAGTTTACTGATCAAAATTTTACCAATACGCATTGCATCAGAGACCAATTTGTGGGAGATCCATTTTTAAAAACAGAATTCCCCCAACCAGGTTTTTAGGCTGGTATCTTGGGAGTCTTCAGACCAAATTTCAGAGTAATGACTTAAGTTTACATACCCTCTTACCAGTAAATTGTTCAAAGATGGCACATTCAGGTAAAAGTGAAGTAGGTTTTTTTTTTTGCTTATGAAGTTTTCCCAACAATTGACACCTTTAGGTGACCACCTATCAAGTTACATCAACCCTCTGAAAAACTTGAAATGCTGACCACCAATAATAATAGAAACACAGACGTACCCTGCAAAGTCTCAGGAGACTCTAAACGAAAACACATTTTGAGGGTAACTATAAGAGACCTGTGAGAGACCTTTTGTACAATTCTGCCAAACAGCAATTTTTATTTCAACTCTCTTTTTCAACTTAAAAGCTCCTTTTAAGTATGCTGCAGTGAAACTTAATGGTTGCTGATCCAGTGCAAGCAGCAAAGATTGCCAAAGCCATAAGTCTTCATCCATTACAGTAAGATTCTTTCACCATTTCATGTCAAATTTTGTTCATTTTTGTGCTGATAGCCAGCCTTCTTTTTTACTTTCACCTATGGTTACTCACATGGTAGTTTTAAACACAGAGAGATGGTAAATATCTACATGTGCCACCGAAATCAGAAAATGTTTACGCAATTTCAGGAATTCCAAGACCACAATGTTTTGCCACATAAAACCCTTCCAGAGTCATTTATGTTGACATTTTATAATTGGCTTTTGTAAGCTAAAAAATTCAGTTTGAAAATAGGTTTTTGTAAATGACTTGTGTGCATTTCAACATTTTCCAAAAGCTGAAAAACGAAATAATAAAAAATAGGCCCTTGAAGGTCTACTGTATTGTATAAATACTCTGAAATTAAGAAAAATTCTTAACACTACAGATATTAAGAAGTATTCATTTATTCTGCACTAGTTAGTATTAAGATTCAGCTGGGTTCATTAAAGACTTGTAAATCAAAGTGGAAATTAAAAACTCACTGTCATTTTTCCACTCCTGTTTGCCTCTTCCCGCTGAGCTAATGCCCTCAAAAATGCATCCTTAAGATCTTTACCAGAACTGGCCAAAGTTCTAAAAAAAAATTGTTTCATGAAATAAGTGCAATGAATTCAATACATATTCAGTTGTCTCTGTCAATAACAATTTCAGGATTTTTCTGATTATGAGGAAGAAGCTTAACCCTTCCAATCTCAGAAGTGATTAACAAGTAACTTCTCCCTATAATATCTGAACATTATCCAGCAAACAGGTAATGAAAATACTCAAACTTATCAGGTAGAAGTTGTTACCTTGATCTAACACCAAATTCTTGTAACTAATTTACTAGGAAATGTGTAGCAGCTGGAGGGGAGAATTAACAATCAGATTCTGGGAGTTACAGGCCTGGGTTTACTTTTCACTTTTTTGCTGCTCTTTGAGCTGAGTTTAATAAATCTGATGTATTCTGACCAGATGAGTCCCATTTCTTTTATAACACCACTCAGGGAGTTGTTGGAAAAGCAAGAGCATTGTGCCATATGGTTCAAGAGCAAGAAGCAAAGTAATGGATCCGAAACTTACGCAGATAGATAAAGATTGCAAAGCTGGACAACTTAACCAGTTTCAATGTCATTGACCATTTAAAAAGCCTCTTTGTAATGTTTGTCATTCTTAGTGGTGCAAGCAATGAATGAATTCAAAGGTCAGCATGAATCAAGTGACAAGGATCCTAGATTCACCAATTAATCAATTCTACAGACTGGAAACTGAGATTTAAGCTACAGTGGAATCCTGATTTCTCAAAATTGGTTCAAGAAATTGGGAGTACGAGAAATCGGGGGTGAAATTACAAGTGAGGCAAATCCAAGGGAAAAAAGGTTTGGTTGAAGATATTGCGAGGTTTGAGAAACCGAGGGTTTGAGAAATCGGGATTCCACTGTACATATAACTTGCTTTTAAGATTTTTAAGAAATTTGAAGAATGTAAAACACTTATAGCTATTCTAATTTTTCATCTTGTCTCTTTTCTTCAGTTTTTTAACAATTAGTTGTTGATTGAAGTGTTGGGACTTTCCTTGCAGAAGAATTTTTGGGTCCCCAGTATTTCTTAATATCAGACTTCTACTCCAGTGCTCAATGGATGACCACCCTGCTTTGCGATACTGGTTGCGAGAGACAGAATTCTGGAAAAAAAGAAACCCTTACACACCCTTAACACTTTGTAAGCAGAGAGATTTCTGTGTATTAAAGAGACTTGGATTTCAATTTGAAGGGTTTGATATTTAATCATGTCACTTAAATGAAACATTCTACATATTATACACTACATGTATTAACATTATTTCATACTTTTGTTGACTTCTTTTTGACAGTCTGCTTGCCTCAGCAGCTTGTTTGCTGGCCTCAAATTCTTCCCGTTTCAGAACCTTAGAACAAATAGGGTAGTAAGATAATTATATACATGTACAGTTTTAAAGTTCCAATAATAGCCCTTGATCAATTCATGCTATTGCCTCATCTTACTACAAATTACAAATCACTTGAAATACCCAGAAGGTTTACAGTTTTCTGTTCAAGATATCCAAGGGTACATAAATTAAAAGATACATTAGGACTACATAGAATTTTCATAGAAAAGAATCACTCAGCATTATGTAATAATTTAGAAATTATTTCTAAGTGGGGAAAGTAACCAACAAAGTAAATACTGATTTTGTATGAAACAGTCTACCCTTAAATTTCTGCCTGCCACATCACCCCTGAATCAAATGTAAAGGCCATGAGATTTCAATGGAAATGATTAGCAATACAAGAAGGTCCTGTCAAACAACTTCTCCTTGTCCACACTTATCAAACAGATGTAAGCAATTTAAATTTAGAAATCATGCTGTAGGCAGAAAGTGTGTTTACTATTAAGTAATTGCAGTATTTAATTCCTTCTACATTGAATAATTTTCAATGCTGACCTCTCCACTTCCTCTGTAACCTAACTCAACCAACTGTCGAGCTAATTCCTCATCCTATGGGAAAATACAAACTAAGAATTCAGCATTGATTAAAGTACAAACACAATTTTATAGTAGTGTCCCTGTTATAAACTTAAGGTTGCTACAGCCTGTTGGATACCTATTTCTCTTTTTTTAAGCAGGTAATGCCTCTCTGGTAGCTTAAGAGCAATTGACAGTACCGCAAATCAGCTGCAAAAGAAGGATGAAGGAAACTACAGCGCGTAAGGCAGATCAATGATCTTTTAGGTGTGTTCCTCAGTGTCCATCCTCAAGATCCTATTTACAATCCTGTAGTCTCCATTATCTTTAAGTTAAGATTTCGATGCACCTTTTCAAATAATACATCGCCATGAAGTCGTTACGATCCCAAAACAATCTGATAAAGGAATAACTTGCTTTTCACAGACTGACTTGAACTACAGGTTTACAGGATCGAGGATAATGTGAATGTAACTCAAAAATTATACGGGCTCGATAATCGTATAAAAGACAAGTTACAGAGAAGAGATTCCGTAAAACCTAAACCAAAATATAACTTGAAATACCTCGAGGTAGTAGAGATCTAATGGAGTTATTTGACTGTCTAGAAAGTCTTCATATGTGGCAAATTCGGTGACGATGTTATCAGTCGCTCCAACTGTTTCTTCGTCCATCTTGGATTTAGCTGTTGTTGCTTGGAAACCCCGCACAAAACTTCAACCAAAAGTCTCGCGGGCTCAATCTTCAAGTTTGCTCCTCATTAGGGGAGGGCTTGGGTTTGAGCCCCGTCGACGCCTGTTTCGATTCAGGCGTATCCGTTTCATACTAAACGAAATGCTACGAAGCGGGAAGAAGTATTAGAACATAGCTAGCAAAGTCGCGCAATTAAATTCATTATACGTGAGCGTGCTCAAAATCCCGATAGTGCACGTTGATAGCGTCAGCAAATCCGACTTCGCCAGAAATTTTTTTTTCGCGCGAGCGGCCATTGCTAGTGCGGGGAAAAATAATATATTTCGCGACAGTAATGGCTACAAACAGAAACTCGGCCTACTAGTCCGAAAACGAAGACAATGTTTCGACCTTTTCCCTTGGGCTAGAGTTCTTAAATGAGGCAGAAAAAGAGAAAAACAAAGGAAAAGGAGACTCTGCATCAGCGCCGTCACGATTCGCTTCAACTGATATTGTTGTCCGTTTTTCGCGTCAGATTTGATGCACAATTCCACCCGGCTATGTTCTAAAACAATTGGTTCATGCTTTCAGCTGTGCACTATCGAGTTATGGAGCACGTGGGAAGTTTGGAGAGCACTCAAGAAGCTAGAGTTTCCCTCGGCTATCGCCTCGGGCAACTCTTACGCTTCTTTCGTGCTCTCCAAACTTCCCGCGTGCTCCATAACTCGATAGTGCACGCTAAAGCATGAACCAATTGTTAAACAAAAGTCAACTTCTTTGCCCCAAATATTGAAAAATATCCAGTCGAGTCCAGTTTCGCACTGCAGAATACCCTGTCACTCATTTACACGTCATTGAATAAGAATAGCCTCTATTATGTTATCTTCGTTCTTCACAATCGAGGCTATTCTTATTCAATGACATGTAAATGAGTGGCAGGGTATTCTGCAGTTTAGCCTTGCAAATAATTTCCCTCGCCCGCAATCAAATGCAAAACTAAAAGCAACTTCGACTTCCCCGCACTTCAGGCATTTTGCATGTTTTAATTCTAATCGGCGCTGTGTCTGCACTGGCGTTAGGGTAATTAACACGCGTATTTCCTCGCATTTGTATTTGTATTGCACGTGTTTCCGGAGCTTTCCTGCCAACAAGAAGGCTGGGGTGTTAGCGCAAGATGCTGCTGCTTTTTTAAAAGGTGAAGATTACATAAGTTGAATAGCACTGATCCCTGATGTGGTAAGAAGGCTAAGTGCAATAAGAATTGAAGATTTAATTTCTGTCGCATACGTGGACTCGGAAGACGAAGGAAGAAAATTGAGCATGAAAAACTAACGGTGAAAGCTGGAGTGAACTGCGTCGTTGTAGGCTTCTTTTTGCTACTTGAGATCATGAATTTCACGGGTTGCATAGGCTTTGCTTAACAAACAAAGTGAGGCTAAGGTAAAAAGAGTGAGTGCCAACGAATAAGCCGTAATTACTGAGTTTTTTCGACAGGTTATTCTGGCCATCATTCTAACCACAATGATTGTAACTGTTATTCAGCTCTCGATTTATTTGATCCGAATGAACTGCAATGGTGATTGCTGCAAATATAATGATTCTGTATCATAGGTGGAGTAGGTGGTCTTCTTGACCTCCTGTACGCTGGCGCTCGGCCGATTAGTCCAAAATTAACTTAATGGTTCAATATTTTAGCTGTCTATAGTGCAGTCAAGCAAAAATAGCTCCATTTAAACGGAGAACGATTTATTTCAAATAAAACACAAGATAACGACATAAACAACTTGAAATAAGGAACAATTGTTGAGTAATTTATTGTCACATTCACGAAACAGACCTTTACTCGTTCAGCAGTTTAAAACAAAGCATCCAAGTAGGTTTAGTTGTTTATCCTTGTAAATGCATAAAAAGGGGCATGGTTTATAAAACAAAATAATGCGAAAATCTATATCCCTATGGTTTTGTTTTGCATTTGATGTTTGTTTGGGTGAGTTTTATTTTCCCGTCAGCTCCGAAGTCAATTTACAGGTTAGTGTTACTAAAACTTATCAAATTGTTGACGATGGTATCCTGAAAACGAGAAGTTGAAGCTATAAAGCTAGTGCCCATAAAAGGCGCAAAGGCTTAAGTCGAGTAGAGGTGACAACAACAGCAACGAAAATGAAACAACGAAACAATGAAAAGCGCCGGTGAGAACAGATAACTAAGTTTCCCACCTAAAATAAATCGTTACGATAATAAAAGCATGCTCCACTATTTCCGCACCACGTTCCTCGAATCTAACCTACGTTTAACACTTAAAAAAAAAAAATTCAGAATGTTCCTTCTCCTCATTTTTAGTAAGGCCATGAACTTTACGTACACGACTAGAACGTTCATTCTTCACATTCAATCACTTTGGGCTTGGGCTTATCCCCGGCTCGGTTGCAGTACTTATTCGAAACTGTAAGCTTAACCTCCACGGGTTGAGTCGGCTCCTCTTCCAGTATCACCATGCCCTTCCACTGGCACTGTGGCGGTAAGGTCTTTTTTCCATTGATGCACTAGGATTTTACACAAAAAGCAAATAAATTACGCGGTGAGTCATAAATTTTGATTTGTAACGTGTGCCCTGCGAAGCAGTAGTTTTCATTTCCTTTTAAGCCCATAAGCAGTCAAAAATGGGAGCCACGCTTCTTTTTCCGCTTGATTGAATTGAAGGAAGCCACTGCTAAGAAGGCTGGGTAATGTACCTCGGGGACAAGTACAACAACAACAAAAACAAACAACAATAGTAACAAAATACTAACAATAGTAAGGACACTTATTGCATTTGTAACTTCTATTCGGTGACTTGGCCACTAAGCACACAACTATAAATGTACAAATAGACTGTTATTGTTCTACTCCATTCAAACTCTATTTGCATTTGTTCCTGTGAAAGAGAGATGCACCCGTTGTAAACACATTACCTCTTGCTTTTTTCCTGATCCAAAGCGGTAGTTCACTTCTGGCGGAATAGGTTGGTGAACTACTTCAGCTGTAAAATCAAAGTAGAGCTCGTAATATGAGAAAATGAGAAATAGGGACTAAAAGATGACTAAAAGATTCCAGTAAAGGTTTAAATTGACTACCAAGCGCTCACTTACCCTCGTCCATGATGATTTTGTCCAAAAACCAAGCGGTATCTCTGTACACATCTGGATCGTCTAAAAAGGAGTGTGAACAATCAGTTATTTCTTAGTGAAAATAGGATTTTGCACGCGAATCGAACGTTTGTTATATAGGATTACGTAATCGAATCATGTGACTTCTGAGACTTCTCGTGCTGTTCTTGTATCAGTTGCATGGAATGAAGTCTACAAAATCTTGGAAAACCGTTGCACTCTCCACCCGTATTCATTAGGAATAGTCTTTGAAAGTTCTGAGAAACTTTTTCGTTTCTCAAATTTCTCCGTGCAAAATCAGCACTTTGCTAAGCATACAGGCCCAGGTGATTAAGTTTTATACCAAAAAAAAAAAGCAGGCGTAAGCAGTGGGCAGAGCCTGAGAAAGACTATCACGTAAAAACTTAATGAAAATGCATATTTGTCTGAAATTAACTAATTTACCATATCCATAGTATTATATTCCACCTAGTAAGGGTGCACGTAGCATAATTATCGCACGGTCAAGCGCGCAACTTTGCATAATTTGCAGCACTTTGTTTTGGCGCGCATCGAGTCAGAAATATTAATTTCCAACGGTCCTCTCTCTGTATCGTATAAAAACACTCACCTTCATATTGTGGAATCAATCCTCTTTCCCACATCAGGGACTCTGGATTTTCCACGTCATATTTATAACCTCGCTTTGTGGACTTGAGGGCTTTGAAGGGAACAGAAATGTACACATTCTTTGTCTACTTTATTGCTGGAAGGTGTGAGATTTTGGTTCAATCAAAGTTTTCTTCTCGTATCATTATTATTCTTCGTGGAAGATAAAAGGGAACGATGGAACCTTTCTTGCACATCAACTGAACTACAACTATAGAAGAAAAATTTATAGGTGAAATGGGATTTGGATCCCTTTGCCAGGTGGCTTTTCTTGTTCACTGGTTCGAGTTATGGTTATGAAATAATGCGGTCTGTACAATTTCTAAATGCTCATCGAAATGTCCAGGTAAGGAGTAACAGAATCGTGGAAACTAATAGGTCTGTTTGAGTGAGCACTGACAAGCATAAAAGGCGCGTCAACCATTGTTCTTCATTTCAAGAATAATTATTGCACGGTCAAGCGCGCAACTTTACATAATCTGTAGCACTTTATTATGGCGCGCATCGATTGAGAAATATTTATTTTCAACGGTTTTCTATCTGTATCGTATAATAAACACTCACTTTCATATTTTGGAGTCGATCCTCTTTGCCTCATCAGGGACTTTGGAGTTTCCAAGTCAAGTTTTAGACCTCGCCTTGTGGGGGCTTTGAAGGGAAAATAAATGTATACATTGTCTGCCTTACTGTTGGAAGTCTCAAATTTTAGTGGGGTTTTGAAGACTGTTGGAAATGTTAGATTTTGGTTTGATAGTGAAGTTTCCTTGTCGTTTTATTTTTTCTTTTCTTTATTTTGGTAAATAAAAGGGAACGACGAAACCTCTTATACCCACATCTATACCAAAAAAACCCCCAAAAAACTGAGCATTTTGGCGCGCAGTCTTAATAACTTTTTGGAGCTCAACGTCTACTAAATTCCGCCAAAATGATTGTTTTATATTACAGTAAAATTTCTATTCGATGGATCAAAATTAGCAATGCCGGCCAGTTACAGTACGGCTGTAAGACCAGATGCAAGCTTTTAGACCCAATCAAAATTAAACGAAAATAATTTGCGATATCGTTCGCTAACTTGAACGTAAAGGCCCATTTGAGAACTTAATGGTAACGGTGAATATCAAGCGAAGTCAATGGAAGAAAGTTCAATATTTACTGGAATAGAAGGGTTTATAGTTGAGCAGTTTGTCTAATATTTTTCCCTTTTTTTTTTTTTAAATCCTACCAGTTGATCTTTTCTAGTCGGACGTAACTGAGCCCTGCCGCTTGAAAATAGAAAGGAAACACACACACAAAGCCTACCTCGTAAATCCCGAACGCGACCTAGCTTGGGTTTCGCAGATACAACCGCAATCAGCAGCAAGGCGACAAAAAACCCGAGTTTCCACATCTCTGGCACACGAATCTAGGAGTGCTGAAGAAATCGCTGGAGGCGCAAAGATCTCTTCGAAATGCGATGGATGAATGATACAATTCTTAATTTGCAGACTTTTAAGAATGCAAAAAGGGGTGGTTCCTTACTGTTATGGCTCTGTTCTGATTCGCTGCATTTGCACTAAGAATACATATGTACGGTTCGGTAAATATCAGATCAGCTTTGTGTAAGAAAAACAAGCAATATCGTAAAGTTCATGGACCTAATTTATAGGTAATGATCATTGTTAATGTCGGAGATTGCGGCTGGTTAAACTCGTCCACATTTGTAGAATTTTGGAGTACATCATTAAAGAAAATTCTAAAAATCACTCCCAAATTCATTTGTTACTTATCTTTACATCAGTTTCAAGGGTTCAATAAATATTGGATTACCTGAGGTGTTTGTAGGAGAAATTGCGGCGCACGAAAATATTGAAATCAAAGAGCTAAATGAAATTCATTTCACGTTTGTGCTTAACACTGCAATTGGCAACAACATATATATTAGATGAAAATCATATAGCTTGTGCATTAGCCTGCTTAGCAAGCGTCATATTGGGGCGAGTTAAAAGAAGCGCGCTATCGTTTATTCAACCGACCATGTCTAATTTGAAGTTGGAGTCGACGGTTGGGGAAGGGAGCGGGGATGTATTACTCACTCCCCCACCCTCATCCCCTCCCTAGTTCTTCTGTCACATCCCTGGTACAAACTTCTCTCTCACCCCAGCCTTCCGCTTCCATAAAATCAAAGATGATGGCCATAATTTTCGCTACGAAAATACTGAGGACTCGCCTGCCCAAATGACGCCTGCTCTGCAGGCTATTTGGTCAAGTAACAAAGTGAGGAACAGTAAGAATTAGGATCAACGCTCATTAGAATTCAACGATTAGCGAGGCTCACCAAATTCTAAAATTGATAGCGAGCAAGTAAATAAATTTAAGATCAACGACAGCTAGTCTTCCTATAGTCTCCTTCGCAGCCGTTGTTTGGGCTCGTCACGCAACGCTCCCTCCCCCGTTGGTGGGGGAGGGAGCGTTGCGTGACGAGCCTAATCAACGGCTGCGAAGGAGACTAGTCTTCCTAGCAACCCCTGAATTTTTCCACTGCTCCCGAGCCCTAAAGTGAAGTTTTGCTCCAAAATGTTACACGTTTGCGCTTCTGCCATGATAGGCCATAGTGGTTAACTGAGAAGTATTGATGAATTCACAATGAAACTCCCAAGATCTTTTTCGTGACTTTGTACCAGCATCTGGCTGCTGAATCTGTTAACTGGCAGAAGGGGTTTACCCTTGCATTCCTATGATCTCATTAGCAATCCTTTTTACTGTTTGCCATACAATTCTAATGATTTGAGTGCAGATGATTTTGTATTAGATCGACTAACAATTCCCTAGTTGGTATTTTTTAAATCTCATTACTTTCCTGCTTGATATTACACGATAATGTAAAGAGAACTTCTGTCTTGGTCACTCAAGAGAGTTCAAGAGTTAAACGACATGACGTCACAAAAAGTATTTTCACTCCTCCAATGAAGGTTTTGTGACTCATTTCTCGTCGTTTGTTTTGACTTTAAAATACATACGTTTTAATGTCCATTTTTTTAAAGAATATTCCATGAACTCGAACTCCCGAACACTTGGAGAGCCTAGTCCTAACAAACAGTGATGAGCCACATGAAAGCTTGAATCCTCACAACAGGCTCAGCGTTGAATCGAACGTCTCAGGAAAAGCGCAATGCCGCAAAACACCAAGCGAAAAGGGCGACTTTACGAGATGATCTTGGCCGGAAATATTACTTGTTGTTCGAGTTCCTCTCCGGTGGTGTACTTGTTTCTCCGAGTTTTGCTTCGAGTTTACTAAATTCTGTTTTATTTATTTCATCCACTTCGTCTTCGACCTGTATGGACAAAGAAAAGGCTAAAACCGTCAAACTTGAAAGGGAAGCACTCAGAAAAGAAATGTTATTCGCACAACTGATTGTGTACCATATATATTTGCTATCGATACTACTCGATTGTTTATTTGTTCGTTTTTTGTTGTTTCTAACGATGTATGCATTTTAAGAAAAATTCAAAGAATCCGAAAAAACCACCCATCCCTTCTCACTCCGTGCTACCCCATACAAAAATTCTTGGGTTCCCTTGAAAGCTTTTTGAGGATAATTTTAAAATACTCATCACTTAACAGGCTGAAAAGGAGAGTATTGCACGCCAAGCCCTCACGAAACTAAAACTGTGGGGAATGGAACTCTGGTGAGTTTACCGCAAATGAACGAGTCGAACCAGCTACTTCTGTTTCCACCTTTGTAAAACTAATATAATTTCAAAAGCACTGCTTGGCACCGAAAAAGGAGCTTCGCGAGCTGTTCAATTGCAAGGGCTCATGACAAAAAAAAAAAAAAAAAAAATGAGCCGCAGGGTGCGATTCTCCTCTCGCGAGTGTCTCCCAAAAGCTGAGATTGCAAAGTCTTCACTGGCTTCACAGTGGTTTTCCACATCATTTACTAACCCGGGGCCGCAAGAAAACGACACGACATGTCATTTCTCTTACCTGTTCTACTGCGACCACCTCTGGGACGTAAAACTGCATCATGTTTTCAATGCCATTTTTAAGGGTAACAATTGAACTTGGACAGCTGGAGCACGCTCCCTAGTATGATACCAAAATATAACTCTGTTCATTTTTTGTTTTACTCGTTGAATTGGTATTACCTAAAATCGAATAAAATAAAATTGAAAAGAAAAAACAGACATCAAAATTAACTTCCAGGTGCAGGACTGTACGAACCGACTCAAACTAGGTATGAATCGACCGAATTAATGGTTACGAAACGACTCGAAACCGTTTGATTAACAGCAATCACTGCTTCCTTCAAGTTAGAAAATGAATGAATCTCAAGTTGGCATAACACTGACCTGAAGTTTAAGCTTCACAATGCCGTCTTGGAATCCCTGTTTAATTAAGGCACAACAAACAAGTTACCCGGCTAGCATATCCACTACAAGGTTCTTACCCCCGTGAATACCAGATTTCACCAAAAGTTGGTTATAAAAAGGTTTTTACTGGAGACACTTGAGTCAGATTGCCAAAGGATTAGGAACTATCTCTTACCACAAACCATTCCAAAATTAATCTCATCCCTCAAAATGATTCTACTACATGTAAGTATGAACCAGGAATGAGTATGTCTGTTAACAAACCTTAAAAATGATGTCTCCTCCATCTTCTTGAACAGTTGGTCTGTTAAAAGTAAACGACAAACAACAGAGAGAATTTTAATGCATCAAGTGTCGTACTCACAATTCCACAGATGTAAAATGCAACTTTGACAACTAACATGAGGAAAAATGAGCATCTGATAAGAATTAAATGCTAATAAAATACTCTAATCACGATTAAATAGCTAGTGCACAGTTTGGGTTGTGTCTCTCATTTCAAAGGGCAAAGGAAGGTAAAATCTTAACAGCTCTGATGCGTTTACCTTATTCTTGTGTCTAACAACTCTTTGATCATAGCAACAGTTTCATCGTCATCTGCATCAATAGCTGAAAAAATAATAACAGTTAGGAGCAAAACACATTCAAGACAGTTTAAAGGCTTTTCATAGGAAAGCTGTACCTAAATAGGCTTGTGGGGCATGTATCTCTGTGAAGATGTAGAATTTTCCATGAAGCAGTATTACCTTTGGCCCTTTACACCTTAACATCAGCATGCATATTCTCTTCACAACAGTTTTTACCTAAACGGCTTCCAAATATTCCTTAGCCACCAAGTGCATTTTGACCTTAAGATTTTGCCGATCTCTGACATACTAAACTGTTACTATTACGGTAATTTGATATGACATAGGGATGCAATGTCATAACCAGTTAACTCCATTGAGCAACCAAGACAGAATTTCTCCCTACAATATCAACACTCTCAACTATTCTCTACTTCCTAAGGTGCTCAGACAAGGAGAATTTGTTCAATAATCAATACCTTCTTTAGTTGGTGATCACTTCCTTTACTCTCCTGACCTTAATGAGTGATCAGGGATGATTATGTAAGAAGAAATTACACACTAGTCACTCTCAGGTTAAATGCAACCAGTGGGCTGAAAAGACTACAGAGTACATTTTTCAAAATGAATGTGTTTAGCATGACTCAAAATTTAACCTGAACAAGTGAACTTCACAGTTACTAGTGAATGAGATAGCTTTGCTCAAGAGCGAACAAAGTTAGTGGTAATCAACTTTCCTGTAGTTGCATGATTGTTCATAGAAAATTCACCTATATTAATTTCAAGCTCATTACATTAATGACAGAAAAATAATAGCAATTTTCATGCACATGCATCAGCCCTACCTGTATCACTTGCTGGCTGGTCTTCAGTAAGAATGGGAACATTGCTTGCAAAAAAGTCCATTATGGAGGCAAATATGTCAGGTTTCAACACAGGCCAGTCAACTTCATCATCTGTCTGCAATTGAAAACTAAAAAAAATGTAAACTGCAGCAGAACGCAATAATTCTTACTTCACATGACTAGATTAATTTCAAATTGTCACATACACATTTTGAAAGCAATTAAGTCTGTGATTTTACAGCTTCTGTTCAGGTTGAGTCCATAAATGGTTCTCTCTTCAATTGCAAGGAGTGAGTTTTAAGTCTCTTATCATTGTTGCATGACTTGGCCAGGCAGTGAGGACATGTTTACCATTTTTTTTCCAATCTTATTTTTGAGTCTGGTTTAAGTCATAAAAACAATTAGCCCACTAACCTTTGTAACTGTGATGAAGTCTGGTCCAAACATAACTCCAGTCACACCGTCTATTCTAAATAAATTTCTGCAAACAAAATAAATTGAATGGAAATATCCATTCTTACATTCCTGGCATACACGACTTTGTTCTATATGACTTCGTTCTGCTGCATTTCAGTCACTGAATTGCATGGACTAAAGGTGCACAGTCAAGTCAAAATGAGATACAGATTCTCAAAGAACAGCATAAAACCCTTTACAGCATCAATATGCACATTCTCTATACTGTTCTCTATATATTTCCAAACAGGCTTACAAGGAGAATTTGTCTAACAATCAAGAGCATTACTTATTGATCATTTCCTTTATTCTTGTAACCTTAATGTGTAATTCAGGGATGATGTTGTAAAGGGAAATTATTTGCTAGGTATCCCAAGGGGTCAAGGGGGTTAAACATCTCATTTGGTGTGCTATTTATTTGTTTGTAAACATAGGCTGCCAATGAGTAACTCTTGGATAAAGTTGAAACTATTTGGAATTACTTTGAACTGCTGGGATGATGCTAGGTGAATAGTCATAATTCACATTTTGGCTATCTCTCAGTACAAAATACAGACTGCAGACTGCTGGCCAGGTACAAAGTGCAGACCAGGTACAAAATGCAGACTGCAGACTACAGACTGAGTACAAAACGTAGACTGGAAATTAAAATTATTTTTTTCGTCTTCTATATTATAACATGTCATCTTAGAACTCACAGTGTCATGCACTCCCATTTCCATGATCATCTTTCACAATCATTTGCACTATTGTGGAATATTCCTTACCTGTTTCTTTGAATATTTTGTTTTTAGCCAAGTCTCTGGTGTATTTCGTTTTTAACAAAGTAGCCACAATCATTCTCACATAGAATTTCAAGCCTAATTCCTATAGTCTTCTCATTTTGCACGCAAGATGTCAATATTGAAACAAATGACTGCTTTTGTACGTGGTACACACTCTTCAACTTTTATACTGATATGTACACATTTTCATTTTATTGACAAAAATATAGACTGAGACCAAAACTGTCTCTTGAACTTGATATATTTTCAACATTCAAGGGTGTACACACACTGACTTTCACATAATGATATGGTCACCAAACAGATGAGAGGTAAAATCACCAGGAAAGTAAACAAGTTCCAATCATGAAAACAACACTTTGCTTGCCCTGGTAAAAATTTGCCACTTACTCCTTTTAGCTTCTCACAGTATAAATACTTAGAGCTTACCTGGATGCTTTGTTAAAAACAAAATAAACCTAGGAACGGCAAGGAATATTCTGCAAATTATCATGCATATAATGGTAGAAGAACAATTGCATTTAGTGTCTTCACTAATAGTCACACCTTTACTCTTTCAAGAGCTTTCACTCAGTTACACAAGAACTGACTGTGAAAAGTATTAATCAAAACTCCCTCAAAGAAAAGTCAAGTTATATTTTAACGTCACAACATTATTTTGGAAGTCGATAGAAGCATTACAGTATAACTTGGTAAGGTTGATATCAATTGGTCTGCTGTTGACATATCCATTTGTTTAGACCCAAGAAAGTGACAAATTTGCAAATTTGTAAGTGACAAATCTGTCCACTCACAATGGTCATTTCATGATTCACATTCCATGACTAAAAACTAAGTACAGCAAAGGTTCCAATAAGACATAACTGTTATGTGTACCTTGCTAAAGGTGAACAATATGCAGAGTGTGCACTGGTAAAGTTAACTGTGCCAGACTCTAAGACCTGGACTCCAGGAACAAATTTCAAACTGTTAGGGTTTGGTGTTTCTTGTACCTGTATAAACATTGTTCTCACACTGGCTGTCAAAATATAATAATTGCGCGTGATGAATAAGCAAATCGGAAAGAGTACCATATAAACCCATACATTAATTATGCATTCCACTTCTTTGTCTTTCAAGACAAAACTTTAAAAACAAAGTCTACTAGTCTGAATGCATAATTAATGTATGGGGTTATATCGCACTCTTGCCAGCAAATCAGTTATCATAAGACCTGGAATGGGTTGTTCAAACACAGGGTTAGTGTAAAATCTTACCCCCAATCTGAAAACTTTAAAAAAATATTCGTGGGGAGGGGGGCTGGGGGGAGGGTGAACAAAAAATGAAATGTTCCCAGTATAAGCACAGGTGGCCCAAGCTCTCTTTGAGAACCACACAAGGAACACAATTTGCATATAGATTTATAAGGATTTGTATGGGATTTTCTATAAGATAGCCATAGAGATAGTTAAAAGTGAAAACATTAAATAAAAATGGCTTACCTTATTCCATACGTGTGTTGCTTGCTCCTGGTGTCGTCATTTTACCGATTTCACTTGATTTAATCGGTTTTTTTTAATCCTGGTTTTCTCTTCTTAAAGAGAAGACAAGGCCGAACACTTCTGTCCAGACAGCCTCCCGAACGAAGTAAAAAATCCNCAACATGACGAGGTTACCAAGCCAATTTCAACGGTCATTGTGTCGTGTTTAAAAAGGACTCGGATGTCTACAAACGTTTGAACGTTTCACTGAGGACACTAACAGCCGCCTGGCGTTGATCGCAGGGCTGAGATTGTGTGGCTAGAGAATCGAAATGAGAGGTCAACCTTTGCCCTTGAATTCTGTGGTGGATTTGTGGCCGTGGGTACATTTTAGCCCGGGATTTTTTACTTCGTTCAGGAGGCTGTCTGGACAGAAGTGTTCAGCCTTGTCTTCTCTTTAAGAACAGAAAACCAGGATTAAAAAAAAAACTGATTGAATCAAGTGAAATCGGTAAAAATAACGACACCTGGAGCAAGCAACACACGTATGGAATAAGGTAAGCCATTTTTATTTAATATTTTCACTTTTAACTATCTCTATGGCTATCTTGTAGAAAATCCCATACAAATCCTTATAAATCGATATGCAAATTGTGTTCCTTGTGTGGTTCTCAAAGTGGGCTTGGGCCGCCTGTGGTATAAGCCTTTCAATCACGTAACATGAACCCAATTTTCGTAAAACTGCGCGAGACAAAGAGTTAAACAATGTACGTAACGCAAAATTGTCATTAAAATAAGCACACAGCACTAATAATAGTCACCGTGGATCGCTCTGTTTAACCGTTTACTGTAAATATTAGAACTACTTTAACTGAGGCTACACGAATTCGAATTATCGTTGTGCAAAAAATATTTTGTTTAGGTACCTCCAGCAAACGGAATCCGTGGAAAAGACCGATTATATTGAGGAAATGTCAACAATGGAATTCCTCCACTGTAACATCTCTGCAATTGTTTGGCATTTTGAATATTTCTTCTAAACCACAGCTTGACAGCATTTCTTGACACAGCCCAACGACTCATTAGAGTCGTCGCCATATTCGTTTTAGACTTGATCGTAACGTTGCGCATGTGTGGTATATAGCTTAGTGGTAATCTCGAGCCCAGGGTCAAATTAGCTCTTTTATCAGCGGTATTGTCGCCAGAAAAAACTTGTTCTGGCAGACGGTCGTTCTGGCAAGTTTCAGTGGAATCAGATAAACCCCTTGCTTGTGGAGGCAACAGTTGAATAGTAGACGAATAGTTCAATGAATAACTGAAAACATACCCCAAATATATTTTCCTCTTTCTGATACACCCCACGTAATCTCTATCTAAGGGCCTGATTACATGAGCCGAGCTGGCCCGGTTAGCCGAGCTGATTTCTTTTTTTTTCACGCTTCGGCGAACACCAAAACAAAAGAAATCAGCCTGGCTAACAGGGCCAGCCCGGCTCATGTAATCAGGCCCTTACTTTCGATGCTTTCGGGTAATCGATAAAAAGGAGGAGCGCGGGCTCCGGTTTCCGAACAGCAGCTGGCAATCGAGCAAAGGGGAGAGGGTGGCGAAGAGCTTCAAAGCTGAGCTTTTACGATCAGCGAAAAAAGAAGAAAGAGCAGGAAGACTAGACGGTGAATAAACTCACACAGTGCCTTTTGTTCATCTTCTTTAAAGAGTTTCTTATTGGCTTACGTCGTGAAGAAGGTAACGCTGTATCCCTTTGAATAATTTTGGTGAGCAGTCAGACTTTCTGTCTATAGCCCTGTAGAGCTGAGTGTATGGTTGTATTTTGCCTTGTGTGTATAGGAGGATATTATATGTAGAGTTCATACTAGTAACCTCCAAAGGTTACTCGTATAGCGGAGAAGTCAATTCGAACGCACATGAGGTACGTAACCAAAATTTCAAACGAAAATAAAGAGATCGGCGCGGTGTAAAATCACAGATGAAAAGGGCGAGGTATTGATGGAAGATAGCGTTGATATGATCGATGGTTGTAGCTGAATCTGTGTTGCTGAATTTATGTGGCTGGATTTTTGTGGTTCGAAATAAAAGAAAATATAGTCGAAACCAAACTAAGAAAATATCCCTGAGAAATGTTCACTAGCCGAGGGGGAAATTGGAACCTATTAAAAACCCCAAAACCGTAGAAAAAAATCATCCAAGACCGAAACAAAAATCGACCGAAAGCGAAAACTGCATCCAAAACTGTCAAAACCGATGCATTTTCACATCCTAGTTATTAAAACCCTGATCGATGCGATATAGTGGTGACAAGTGGAGCATGCAGAGTAAACTACACTAATTTCATTACAGTATTTGTGAATGCTATGGACTTGGCATTCGTATCTTCTAGTATCTGGTTAAATTATGGACCTTATTTCAGCTGCTCTCTCGAAGTCCAATAAGAGTGAATCGCCTTGAAACGCTCTTTTATTTCTTTTTCATTGCTTCCCCGCCATGGAACAGATGCTCATAGTAATTAGTCATGATCTTCCTCACCAATCGAGAATTTCCAATTTATCATAGGTGTAGATGTTGCGTATTCTTAGTGTTTAAGGACTGTAAGTCTTCTTTAAGTCTGTATCATCCTAAATGAGCCATATATTATATATATAGCAGGGGCGTAGTGTGAGATTTCGAAGGTGTATGTACAGCGTGGAAATTGGGAACGCCAAAGGCACCCCAAACTAAGAGGAGGGTTTTGGGGGCATGCTCCCCCAGAAAATTTTGAAATTTAGGGTCTCGCAAATGCTGTTTTGAACTATTTCCGCGAAACCTTTTTTATAAATAAGTGCGACACGAAATGAACTAGTTAGTTGTTTATTTTGCCCACCTGTAGAGTTTTAAAGATACGAGGGTTGTTGGCTTCCTAAAATATCTAGAAAGGTAACAGGTCTAGGAAGCCAAAGACAGTTTCTTGTCATTTATGAATTAATGAAAAGGCACTGAAAAACAAACACATGCACCAGCATAATTTGAAATTTAAAATTAGTCCTATTTTATGGTAACTGTGACAAATGCTATAAGGCAATAAAAAAAATTTTTTTTTCAGATTTCGGCTGTACGCACGGGCATATGTGCGTATATGGGTGCTACACCCCTGTATAGGATATAGCAATTAAGCTATCATAATATAAATAATGACATTGGTAGGATTGACCTACCAAACACTGTTTTTATGCTTGTGCAGGCTTTTCTCTTCCTTTTTTTCTGTGCATCTAAACTTAACTTGTTTTTCTTTCTGAAATTCTCGCCGCCTTTCCTTCTTCATAAAAAAACACAACTCATCCACAATTGCTTCTTGAGGTCCTTGACCTTCTTCCGTCGCCGGCGTGTTTGGCACGTTGGAAGACATGGTTTGCACACTGATCAACCTTGACCTAAGTGCTCCAAAGTCAAAGTCTTGGGTGTCATTCAAGATGTTTAAACCCCTACGGTATGGTCAAAGTCTTGGGCGTCCAAGACGCATAAAGCCCCCTAGGGATCCCTGCAATATTTCAATTGGTTTGTCACGCATTCCACTCAATAACATTTGCGTTTAGCGGCAATTAGAGATCAGTGGAGGCGCGTGATTGCCTCTCAGAAGAGAAACTAAAACCCAAGTAGGTCAAATGGGAAAAACGGAAAACCGCATCAGATATCAAATCTGAAAACCCGTTAGTATTTTTTGCGAAAACCGAAAACTAGATGTTTAAAAACGGAAAACCCGCAAAACACAATGAATACCAAAACCGAAAAACTGATGTGTTTTAGCACAAAAAACAAAAAACAGAGCTAAAAAATAGCCAAAACCGCAAAACCGAGAATCCCTATGTCCCCCTCCTAGCCTAATTAACAATGAAGCGATTATAAAGTGAGAAATAAACCGATGTATGTACCGAAAAAAAAAGGGGGAAATATCTTAAATGTAAAATAAAGAAAAACTTACTGTGATCTAGCTCCTAATGATTGTAGGTAACTTGCTAATAGCAGATGATTCGTGAATAGCAGAAAAAATTGGTTGTAAAGCAACTTAATTGGCCAACTCTTGAAAAAAGAAGACAAGTAGCTAGACTGGCACTGATGTACAAATGTGATACCAACCAGACTGCTATAGATATCCACGGCTATGTACATCATCAGTCTTCCATAAAAACCATATCGTCTCATCCACTGAAATTCATCCCACTCCAGCCATCCTGTGACACATACAAATTTAGCTTCTGGTTGAGAACTATCAGTTGACTGGAATAGCGTGCCACCTGATTAGGTAACATTGGATTCAACTACAAAATTTAAAGCCACCATCTCTGACTACATTTTTTCTGTGTGATGTTTACCTTTTTTGATTGATTGATTTATATATATTTAACGACTATTCACCAAAGTGGAGGTGAACAGTTGTCTTAGTATATACTAAAACAGTGGGATAATATACACTACCACCAAAAATTGATTTGAGTGATTTCTTCACTAGTCATGGATGCAAACTGGGACGAGATTTTTTCCCATTGCTTGGAGGTAAATAGCGAAGGATATTTAGAGTCTGACTAGTCAATCAGAGCACGCCTTCAATGCTATCCACTGTTTTAGTATATAAGTACTATTTAGTACTAAATATAGATATGTGTATATAACTGCAGACAGTACTGTTTTGGCCTTCTGGGCTTCATCAGTGCAGTGCTGATGCT